CTCGGTAAAATACACTAACAATTAATTACTTTTCATTTTTTACTTCATTTGGTGAAGGTAAAATATTTACTTATGCATGGCCTTTCTGCTTTTCTTTATTACTCTTGCATCTATTAATACTAATTTCTTTTTCACTTTAGGACTAGAGTATATGTGCGGCTTTCAGATATCACGAGATCAATTAGTGCAAATGCAATTGGTGAACCAGTTGAGAAACTATTATTTAAAACTTCAGAGTCTTTGATGGAAAAACCAAATTTGTAAGAAATCCAACTTGTCTCAAACATTTTGCCATTCAGTACATATTTTAGTAGAATAATATTAATACAATTTAAAATTAACACAAGGTTCAAAGACAAATTTCGAAGCAACCATTAAAAAATGTAGAATACTGAACGAGCTTTCTACTTAAAAGTATCGCAAAATGAATCTAATTCATCAAGTTACAGATTTGATATCATCTCTGTAACAGACTTAGACCATCCAAGTCCAGGACAAGAAATTCAAGCAAATATTGATCATGCAAGTCTTGAACCAAAAATCCAAACAAACGTTGACAGTTAGGTTGTAGTTACAGCAGTTGGGAAAAATGTTGGGAAAAACGTTAGTACAGACTATCAAGAAGATTGGTCACCTCCAGCTAAAAAAATCCTTTTCAAATCTTCCAATGAGAGTTCCAGCTCAAAGTGGCTCGTGATGAAAAAATAAGTTCAGACTCAAATTCACTTGCTCATAAAGAAAAATTGGAGTAAATGGTAGTCGAAATATTTCCGTAAAACCAACCTTTTGACAAGAGTGCTGTGTGGTTTTGTGAATTTTTTGCTATTTCGTTTTGTGAAATTTGTCTTCATTGTAAATTTGATCTTGAAATTCTATTTTCTTAAGTATATATAATTTCCTGATAAAAAACTGCCAAACAAAAAAGTAATGACAAGTGATGTATATGTAATTCCTACATCATCCATCTCGAAAATCAGTCATTATTTATTTTATCTTGGCTATACTCTGTAATCAACGATGGTAATGAAGTTAATTTTTATTCTCTCTTATCTATTATTGACTGTAATATAAACACATGATTAATTACGATGAATTTACAAGTTTACAAATCACAATCAAACACTTCGATATGTATACTATTATCTCAATTATTTACTGGTTAATTCCTTGCCAATAATTCCATCTTCCAATATATTTTCAAACATATTCAACACATACGCTAACCAAATCATAATTCATGCACAACTCGTGAATCGCATGTAACATAGACTAGTATTATTTTAATAAAAAATGTGTGGTTGAAAAGAAGAGAGAAAAAAATATATTTTAAAAAAAATGACTACTAAATGGGGCCATAATTTATTAAAATATCACATCAAGGGAGAATCATTTTTTTTACGATTTTAACCCCTCTACAATTCAATTACTTTAATAATACCTTACTTTTCGTTTTACGATATGTAATAAATACTATATAGTCATTGTCATTTATGTAATTTGTGTTATTAATTTTCAATTAATTAACATTCATATTAACCTAGATTCAATGAATTTTCACTTGATAAATCTTGAATTACATGAATCAAAATTATTATAGATGAATTTATTCATATTCACGTATCTAAAAATTTTAATGGGAGTTTAAATTTATGTATTAATAATTAAGTTATATAAAAAAATTGCTCATTTATAGTATTACAACATTATAAAAAATTTGAATAATAGAAATTGAGTTTTGAGAGTACAATTTTCTTCTCTTAAGTTTCTATTCTAAATTTTATTTTCTTTAATTCGTTCGAGATTCATCAAATCCTCCAACAAATTAGTACAAAATATTACTTTTACATCACTTTTAAATTATTTTACGAGGAAATGCCTTACTCATATGAAATAAAAAAGAAATGCTTTATGCAAATTAACTCTAAAATCTCTCATCACCATATCCCCACCCTCCTAAACCCAAAATATAAAATACACAACCACGCCATCACTGTTGCCTACAGAGTCCTTCACCACCCAGAAGGAAATCATTGAAAATAGCTACTCACCTCTACCTTAGGCTGCCAAATCCTTCTTCTTATTAGCTTTTGGAATATAAATAAACATTCTGGGCAAAACCAATGGCTCATCATCATTGAATTCCCTTGTTTCTTGTTGATTAATTTTTTGGGGTTACTCTACTTGTACTTTATTCTATTTGGTTTCATCAAAATTGTGTTTGTTCTTAAAGTTTATGCATATTGAAAACTAGAAAGTAAAGGCACATCTTTTCTAGTAGTGCTGCAAATTGGGGAAATTAGGGAGTTTTAATTCTTTACACGAGTGACTTTGTAAGGGAAATGAAAAGTGTGGGAGCATTGAGCTGTGTACATTGCCATGTCTTGGCTTTTCTTCACCGTCTGCATACAC